TAAATCTTTCTTTGAAATGCAATGGAAACATTTGCTAACATAAGAAATATGCCTTCCGACCTAGCAATCCTGTCCTAGGAATGTATCCCATAAAATAAAAGCATCAGGGTATCAGAATATATATATACAAGGTTATTTATTGCAGCTTTGTTCCTGGTGCCAGCAATATCGGGGATGACTGAATAAATCGTGGTGTATCCATACATGAAATATTATGCAGCCATTACAAAGAGTGATTTAGAGCTGGAACGGTTGCCTTGGAAACAGTTTCATGAGGTATTTTTAAATGAGAAAACTGATAAGCAGAGCAGAGCATAAAATATAATCCTGTTTTTCTTAAAGCAAACAATCTAAAAAAATAGCCAATAAATGTGTGTGTTTTATATGCTATGTAAGCACAGGGAACGGCACAGAACGGCATATGCTGAGTTTTTAACAGTGATTATTTGAGGGGGGGTGGGTGGCTTCAGGGAAGGAGGGGGAGTAAAGGCAAGTTAAAAAAAAAAACAGGCTGCGATAAGAAACCTGAAAGCCGTTATGAAATAGTCCTGTTTATGTATAATTTCGTATGTGTATAGATACGTAAAGAAATAAGAAAGGAAAAGAAGCAGAGGTATGTGGTTTTCTCTATTCACTTGTAGGGATGTTCATTCTACGTCAAGTGTAAAACCGAGCTGCCTCGTTATGTCTTTGTCAGTGATCCTCAGACTTCAGGGTGCACCAAATCCTCTGGAGGTTTAGTTAAAACAGACTTCTGGGCCCCAACCCCCAGAGCTTCTGATTCAGCAGATCTGTGGTGGGGCCTGAGAATTTGCATTTTTAATACCCAGGTGATGATGATGTTGCTGGTCCAGGGACTGCGCTTTGAGACATAGTGGTCTATGTCATGACTCTCTATTTTTGAAAACAAACAAACCAAACAAAGTTCTCTAAATGAGGATATATGCTTATATATTTCATGAGCAAAGAAAAAGTATAGGAAAACACATACCAAGCTATTTATATTAGCTAATTCATGGGGTTAGGAATGGAGGTGGCCCAGGAGTTGGGGGTGGAGTATGAGTGGGTATCACTGGTGGTGATTAATTTTGCCTTCATCTATATATTTGAGTATATTATTTCACTTGTACAAATATGTTATTATTTTTTGTAATTTGAAAACCATCAATAAGGAAAATCAGGTGGATGGATAGATGAGTGGATGGGTAACTGGGGCAGCTGGATGGATGGAAGAAAGGCTGGATGAATGGAGGGAAAGGCTGGATGAAATGGGGGGAAGGGAGGGAGGAAGGGAAAAATGGCAGATGAAGCCCCATGGAAAAGGCAGCCCAGGCGCTCCTAGGCTCTGTGTCCTACCTCCTTGAGCTGGACACTGTCTTTGCTGGTCTGGAAGCTCTGGCCGAGTTCATCCACTTCTTTTTCAAAGAGTGCACGTACTTCCCTGAACCCCGAGCTCACTGGTCCCATGAGCTCCTCCAGAATGGACGCCAAAAACGGCTGCACACTCTCCACACAGCTCTTCTCTGCTGGCTCGGCCACCATCGCTGAGGTAGGAAATAGCCAAACAACCAGGACTTAGGACAAAATTGGATTCAGAGGCTCTGGAGTCAGGCCAGGACCAGATCGTGCCCCATGGAGCCATTTAACAGCCAAGGCAAGCTCAAACGGGCAAGACAGACTAGCACAAGGAGCCCTGTGCCCGCAGAAAGGAAAACCACTGGACACTTTCCAGAAAGGAAAACCACTGGACACTTTGAAGCAAACAGAATCGCTCCTCTGCCCAAGCTTTCCTTTGCCCTGGGATAAAATGCATTTTCTGTTTGGTCCCTCTGAACATTTGATGCCTAATATAAAGAAGAAAAGGCTGGGGACCCACCTATCTGTTGTCAATCACCATCATTAAATATGTGCCGTTTGTCTTCTAAAAACGTAACTTCTTAAGTTTTCATTTCTTTCTCTAAGAATTTATCAGTCAATATAATTCCATTCCCCTCTCCCCACCAAAAGACTTTTTATGAACTCAAGTACATTCTTTTCTTGGGCAAATGGAACCAAATTCTACTCGGTTTGCCACCCAACTCCCATCCCCATTCCCAATTAAAACAAAACAAAAACAATATTTTTTCT